CCTTCAGCCCGTTGACCGGTACAGACAGCGCCATGCTTTCCCTCCCGCCTTCTCCGCCGCTGCCAACCGGGACAACGACGGCGACGCCGCTCCGCGCGCCTCACCCGCCCTGCGCGCGACTGCGCCCCGCCCCGCCACGGCCGCCCGGCCGGGATCGCCGCGGGGGCGTGGCCTGGCTCGAGGAGTGGGCGGGGCTTCCCTGAGGGGGCGTGGCCTACGCTGAGGGGGCAACGGTTTCCATGGCGGACCCCGCCGGCTGAGGGGAAGTTTGGGGGGACCCCGGCGGACAGACCCCGGGGGGGCCTCCCTGAAATGGCGAAGGGACGGCCCCTGAATGGCGGTGGGACACCCCCGCGGCGGCGGGGGACGCCCCCCGGGGTGAGGCCCCGCTGCTGGTGCGGTGCCCGATGACCTAACGTCTGGGAGCGGCCTGCTTTGGGCCGGGCCTTGGCGCAGGCCGCGGCCCTGTGGGCGCTGCCAGGCCCGGGGAGGGGGGTGTCGTGTCCCCCCCCTCCTTCGCCGCCATCGCCTCAGCCCCGCAGCTGCAGCCCGCCTCGCCTGCGGGGAAAAGCTTCAAAACTCCAAACTTCCCCTTTGTGGACCCACCGCACCGCGGGCCGGAGCACCAGAAATAGCTTCTTTCCTGGCTGGGAGAAAAAATCTTATTTCAAATGGTAAGGAGGAGTGTTTCCAGCCTAGTTTCTCCCTCGCTATTAAGGTCAGGGACTGAGGAGCTGGATGGAATTGGGCGAAACGTCAGAATGAAATGAAATGAAACCGTTTGCCCTTTTTTCCTGTCTTTCCACCGAAATAGCACAAGGCAGCGCGCAGCCCGCGATCACATTTTCCCCATGCGACTTCATGCCTGCGGAGCCCAAGCCGCTGCGAACAGAGCGGCTTTTATGCCTCGGCAGCACCCGCCCTGGCTCCCAGTCCTGCCGTTTTTTCAGGAGCTCAGACTCTGTTTTTAATAGTCTGAGTTGAGCTGCACCTGAATGTCTCGGCAGAGCCGTTCCCAGGGTCGGATGCGCTGGGGCTGTGGGATACCCTGAGGTGGCATCGAGTGACTTGCAGACGCAGCTCTTGCTGCTTTTCATGCTGTCTGTGACCCGGCGTTGGGACGAAGCCTCCCCTGTAATTTGTACCCAAATGCATCCGTGCAGCCAGAAATGGCTCCGGATGAAATGGTTACCAACGGAGCCTTCGCTGGTAATAACAAAGCCTCATATCTCTCTGGGCGTTTTACTACCCTCAGTTCTGCATAACCGGATGTCTTTAAGCAAATTTCATCTTTGAATGCCCTTGAATTGTTCATCTAGAGCAGGAAAAACGGCTGCCGGCCGTTCTCCCGGTGCAGATAGGGCTGGGCAACCGATGTGACAAAGTCCTTTTCATTCCCTTTTCCTACAGCTCCTGCACAGCCCTCCTTGGCTCAGTGGCTTCGCTGGAAGATTCCTTTCTGTTTATTTTACGGAGAGTCCAAGGAATCTGGCTGATTCATGGGGTGGGACAGTCTAAATTGGAAGTTGGTGTGTGACTGTAACCAAACCGATCCGGGAGCAAGGCAGGACCATGGAGTCCAGGAACCTCCCTGAATAATCACCCTTAAATTAATTGCAGCCTCTACCACAAAGGACACTGTTGTTAGAGCGTGGGTGGGATGGATGGGAGGGAAAAACATTGCCCTGAAATGGGATTGTCAGAGAGACCTTCCACGGGCAACACGTTTGGGGCTTTACGTTCATTTTTTCCACATGGCAGAGTTAGAAATTTGCACCAGTTGGGCCCAGTGTCCCCAGTAGATTCGGGAACTGGTGGCAAGGGGCTCTTACTGCAAAGCCATTGCAGCATGCTGGCGGGGGAAAGTTGTTACCCTCTCACTTCTGTTGTTACTCCTCTTACTGATTTCTTACCCTGCTGGGAAAGATGAGAGCTGTGTCCTCTGAGCCAGGGCTGAGCTGTGCCAGGGTAAGGACCTCTGAGCCAGATACTCCCCGTTCAGCTGAGGACGAAGCCTTCCTTGCTCTGCTTCCCCATCCTCCTCCACCAAAAGTTTCAAAATCACAGGGTTCTGTACAACTTGAAATACTTTCTCAGCCTCCCTGAAGCAAAGAACCACCTACTTTGGAAAAGGCGGTGTTGGTAGTACAATAGCTCTCCCACGGCACCACTAAAGGTACGTGTAGAGCAGCAAATTTGAGGTCTGCGAGGCACTTTGGGCTTTTTTTGTGTGTTTTACCAACTGTACAAAAGAGCTGCCAGGGTTGGTGGTTTTTTTTCCTCGCTACCACTGAATTTCTCCTCTAACAAAAGAGCTTGCATGCTGTTATCTTGCAGAGCAGCTAATAGCTGGGTTATTTCATTTCTATCCAGCTGCACCAGTCTCGTCTGTTGCTTAATACCTTCTCGGTTATTTTACTTTTAGATGACATTTTCCTGGTTTCCAGCTGGCACCTACTAAACCCCCTCAGCCTCCCCATTCAAATGAAACCTCTTTCTCTAATGATGCTCAGAACGGTTTGGAACGTTGAAAGCTCTCAATTCTTTCCTAGTTCTGTAATTACTGCTTATGTTATTCCGGAAGAATTTTTTTTTTTTTTTTTTTTTGCAATTATACTTAGAATTTGCCCCAGCTTTAAAAAATAAATAACCAGTCCTCCTGACAATCCGTAGGGAAGTGAGCGTTTCCCCACCTTTTGCAGCTGTGAGGAATGAGTCAGAAAAGTGAAGTGACTTATTCAAAGCTAAATTTGCCCCGAGTCAGGGAGCTGGAACAAAGCAGTCCTGGACCCCCACCTCTGCTGAGATCAGTAGGTCACTCCCTCTATATTATTTTATGCTGTATCGAGAAGGCTTTATTTCCATTTGGCAGAGCAGCAAAACAGCGTATTATTGTTTCACTTCTCTAGCACTTTTGGCCTTTCTGCAGCGATTTTCCATCTCAAACTTTCCAAGTGCTTTTGAAACTGGAGGCATCAGATGTTAAAGATATCACAGCAAGCGCTCTCCTGCCCCGGCCCTCGCTGCGCACGTTCAGCCGGTGGAATTCACTGCTGCCTTGACCCCCCCGGGGTTCAGAAAATGGCTCTTTCTTCCTACAGGGAGTTTTTGGGGTGCTGGAAGAGCTCAGCACGCAGGTGGTGGTGCTGCTCAGCGCCGGATGAACACCCCGGGTTTTAAAGCATAATGAAGGTGCTTCGAGGAGGAGGGGAGCTGAGGAAGGGTTGGAAGGGAGGACGCGGAGTGACAGATTCCTGGACCATCCCTTGCCCACTGCAGCTGGAAGTCCAGCCCGGCCTGAGCGTGGGGTTCATCAGAGCTCTTTAAAAGCAGTGGTGGATGGAGCGGGGAGAAGAACCTGCCCACGGACACCTATTAAAAGAAAGGCAGAAACGAACACGCCCTGGTTTAAAAATACCAGCGTTCTCATTCCGATGCTAATTCGGGTTCCTGGGCTTGTCTGCAGCCCGGATGCTGCGAGGTCCTTCCCTGGAGACTCCAAGTGGAAGAGCAGTGACCGAAGGCCCAGAGACCACGTGTCCCAGATGCTCTGCTGGGATGGTGCCCCTTCAGCAGAGTAACCCCACACGCTCCAGTTCCCTTCAGCCTCCTGGCCAGACACCAGCCAAGGTTTATGGTTGGACTAGATGATCTTAAAGGTCCCTTCTAAGCTAGACAGTTCTATGACTCTATGATTTTGGGCTCCATCCATCCCCTGCCACCTAGGACAGCGTATTTTGTTCGGCTGAAATTGCTCATTTGTATTTTATTACCCCCGTGTCGAGCCGCCTTTGGTTTTGAAGCCGCCGGGAGGCTGTTAAACGCCCGCCAGATTTACAGGGAGTGCGGGGGAAATCAAACTTCTGCTTGTGTCAGACTGTTTGCCGTTTGCTGTAACTCCCAACCAGCTGTCCCTAGATAGCTCATTTTCATCCGGGGTGCATGCCAGATTTTAGTGTTGGCTGCAGGCTGAGGGAGCTGCTCCCACGAGGCGCCGGAGTGAGCAGCTGAGGAGATGTAGTGCTGTCTGGAACTGGACCCAGGGTTAACATCTCCCACCCGTGAAAAATAGAATGGGAAACAGCTCTCTGCTGTGGGTTGGGGCAGAATTACAGGAGCATCTCGTGTCATTATGTGGGAAGGTGACTTCATCCCACAATTTCTGGGTCGCTCCTCTTTTTAGCCTGGGCCAAGTTAGCGCCGCTCCAAGCACAGGGGTTGGAGGCCGAAATGTTTCTAGGAAATGTTAATCAAGAACTTTCAGTGGCAGTAATTGCAGCTCGGAGTCATTTAACAATCGATGTACTTTCCATGCAATAGCAGGCTGGTTTTTTTTTTGTTTTTTTTTTTTTTTTTCCTGGTTACTGGCATATGGTCCTTACCCCGGGGAGCTGGACGGTAATTAATGCATTTTGTGGTTAAATGTTTGGACTCAGCATCTCACGGCGCCCGAGGAGAAGGGAGGTGGACAAAGCAGGCATTGTCTGCAGGTTTCCCTGGGCTGCCGTGGGTCCCCTGCGCTGAGGCACGGTGGGGGCAGGTTTACAGGAACACTGACACAGGCAGAGTTTTCACCTCACTTCTCTTAGCATCGCCGAAACACCGGGAAAGCTAAAGTGCTTGGCATCTGCCCATGTTTGGAGGTGACATCCAAGGAGGGGAGAAGGAAAGTTGGCTCTGAGGAGCACACAGACAACACGAGTAACTGAATGCCCGACTCTCCTCTTTCAGCAGGAGACTGTTGCCATGTCTCTTGTCTCCTCTCCCTCTATTTCTCACTGCCCTACTTTTAAAATTCAGATACTGGCCTTTTCTCTACCCTGAGCATCAAGAAACAAAGATTTCAGCTTCACCCCTTTGTGGAAAGGGACCTGGAAAGGACCAAAGGGCAGAGTTAAGGGTGAAAGGAGCTGGAAGCCGAGTCCAGGCACTGGGAAACCTCCTGGGACACATCCCTACAGACACACACCAGGGCACCTGGAGTTTCTTCAAGAAGATGCCCCAAATCTATCGCAGTTCTGGTTTTAAAAGTGATTTGGGGGAAAAAAAGGACACTGTTTCCTGTGCATGCTGAAATAAAATCTATATTCCCCCACCCTTATGTACAGAAGTTGCCCAAAAGTAAATAAGTTACGGTCATTGCTGTTTTCTTTTAAGGCTAGTCTCTGGGTGATTCAAAGAGCTGGACCGATAGCATGATTTGGTTAAAAAAACCAAACCCACAAAGCAACCTGCTTCCTCAAAAATACCAAGTTTGCCCCGGCTTTGGTTGATGAGGAGGTGAAATTGGCCACGCTACCCCGAAGCACAGCAATCCAACGCCACCACCTCCGTTTACTCCAGCTGAAAAGCCTGAAAGATGCCAGTAGCCGGGGACTCCCCTAATGAACTCTCCCCATTACAGCCCAGCAGCTCCCAGCTGGGTTTCAACACCCTGGACTGGCTTCTGTCATGAAGCTTAAATGGAAGAAATGCTGTTTGATGTGGCTTTTTAATGGTCCGTAGGTTTTGTAAAAGACCCCGGGGGAAGACGTGGTGTCGAAAGGCACCGGCAGCCGCTGGCGTCCTGTGTGTGCCTTTGAGTGTGAGCGGGGACACAGGGACACACCAGCCCCTTCCCCACCTTTCATCAGCCCCCAAATGGCATCTGCAGAGGATCAGGCCAATTAAAGTAATGACACCAAGCCAGGGTATTCTCTCTCTGGGGTGCAGGCTGACATGACAGAGAAAGAAAAATAAATCCAACACCAAAAACCTCTTTATCCCCAGATTTGATTGATCCAAACCTGTGCTAACCAGTGTAGGCACCTGATAATGAGTCTGGGATAATCCATCCCATTCTATGGGACTGGAAACCATTCTGTGATAATCCACCCCAATTTGTAGCAAGATTGTCGCCTTTAAAAATACAAACCACTCTGTATTTTCTTCTCATTAAAGGTGCTGCTGATGTCCTCTGCTCCACAGCAAAGCTTCAAGCATGGGAGAGAGAGAAGGAGGCTACTTTCTGCTCATGAATGGCTACCAAACATGCCCAGCAGATGAAGGTGTTGGTGCTACCCCACGCCGGGGCTCGGAGCCAGCAAAGGGAGGGAGTGGACAAAGCAAACAGCTCATTCCAGGCCCCAGCAAGGACCCCGGCTCGTTTCACTGTGATATACACTAAGACTCAACTCACACCCAGGGTCTGAAATCTCTTTATTTCCCTCTCTGCACACTTGGAATGAGACGGGCCCAGCCCCGACCTGGCAGAGTCTTTTACTGACCTTGTTGATGTGTCAGCGGCGATGGCAGTCGGCTTGCTTCAGAGGGACCATCAAAACAAAACAATTCAGTGCAATTAATTCCTTCTCCCAGGGGAAGGGCTGGATGAGGTTAAGTGATTTGCCCCAGGATCCTTCAGCAGAGCAGGTAGAAACCAGGCAGCATCGGGAGTTTCACATCTCTGCTATCTCCCAGGGCCGTTCCATGTCCACCCACAGCGACCAGCATCGTCCCTCCAGGCTCAGTCTCTCTGTCCTGGTGTCCAGCCCTGTTGTGCTCCCCCTGAACATCACCCCAAGCCCATTCTGAGCACAGCCCCACAGACCTCAGCAGTTTGTTCTTCTGGAGTTTAAGATGGTCTAAATGGAGCTACACCAAGGACTCTGTAGCGCTGGGGTGTGTGGCCAGGAGATATGGCCAGTGCCAGACCCTCACAGAATCTTCTAGGTTGGAAGGGACCTTAAAGATCATCTTGTCCAACTGTCAACCTAACTGACAAAAATAGACACCCACACAACAAACAAGGAGCATCATCACTAAACCAGACCTCCCAGCACTACATCAACCCTCGTGTGTGAGGAAGGATTTTCCACCTCCCCCTCGCTTCCCCGAGCACTGACCTGTTCCCAGCGCCACACCATGCAGGGGGGAGGCAGGTCCCTGCGCCAGCCCCAGCTGGAGATGTGTCCCCATCCCTCCTCTCCTGCCCCAGGTAAGGAAAACACCAGTGCCTTCCTCTTCCCCCAGCTGTGAACCCCAAAACTGAACATGGTGCTGGGGTAACCACCCTCGCACCGGAGGCACAGAAGCTCTTTGTGGTGCGGTGACATTTTGGCAGCCACCTCTCCCCATCATCTCCCCGGGCGGTGGAGTCGGGCTGTTTTTGCAGCCCTAAGCCCTGAACATCCCCATCCAAATCCCTCAGTGGATGAGGCAGCTCTCGGCAGCAGTGAGGAACCCAAATTCTCTCCTGGGGTTCATTTGTCCCCCAAGGCCTGGCAGCAGCAAGACACTGATGCGACTGTTTAATTGTGGTTTTTTTATCAGGTAAGGACAGCGGGATTACTGGAGCCCAGCAAAGGGCTGGTGGGGGCTATAAATCACAGCCCAAGCTTGCGGTGACAGGGACAGCGCCGCGTGTGGGATGAAGGCTCACAGGGAGCACCAGACGTGGTCACCAACAGGTACGTGACGTTACTCCTGCAGAAACACCCCAGTCCCTGGCAGGGTGCTGCTCTCCCTGCTCAGCCCCACACCTCCAGGGAGGGACCTCCCCTCCGTGGGGTGAAGCTGCGCATCCGAATTCCCCCGAGCTTTCCAGGCGGTTCTTTGGGCAAAGTCCACATCTAAGATTAATTGCGTTCGTAACAAGGAACAAAGCAAACACCCATCACGGAGCCAACCTGCTCCAGACCGATGGCGTAAATGCCCATCTGACTCAAGCGGTGACATGATGAATGGGGATTTTATTTCCTCCTCTCTGAGTCACGGGGGAAGGAGCCAGATATGTGTGTTGTTTTTTTTTTTCAAAGGACACAAGAAAGAAAAGGAAACGTGGTCGGGACAAGAAGCCAAGATCTCGCAGTTCCACCAAGGGCTTAGAAATAATCTTCTTGATAAATTTATTTGGATTGCAGCAGCGCGTACGCTGCGGGCAGCTCTCTAAACACGGGGACAGAAACTCCTCCACCTTCTCTAAACCTCGCAGCCTGCGGCGGCACAGCGGTGCCAGGGGAATGACGTCCCAACACCCCGATGTGCCCACAGCGGGAGGGAGAACTGAGCATAAACCTCCTGAGTCACGGCTTGGGAGCTCGCAGGAGCGGCCGCCGTCCTCCTGGCAGCCACATTTGCCCTGCAGACGGGGAGAACAACAATCCTGCGGGGCAGAACCAGAGCCAAGGTTTCCCAAATCTTCCCATTCCGGAGCCGGTTATCTGCGGCACACGCTCTACCTGCTCAGGCTGAAATTCTGGTATTTCTGAACACCGGGTATTTGATTTTGCAATTTTAATAATCGCCTCTTCAGCCCAGTGGTTTTTCTGTGTAACAATCACTAGAAAACACTCTTCAGCCTCCTACTAAGTTACGATAAAAGCTATTTAGAGACAAAAGTTTGGGCACAAAATAGGGGCAGATATTTGAAGGCTGGAGCCATCCCTCCGCCTGCAGCCCAAGGGTCACCGGAGCCCACCCAGACCCCGCATGACATCTCTCTGAGCATCAACACTGCTGAGATTTTCCCTTTTTAAATCCTTTACATCTATCTCAGCTGTGAATTGCAGGATTTTGAGGTGACCTGCATCACTCCCCTGGCTGCTGAGGATGAGCATCGGGACGCAAAGGAGCCACACAGGGCAGCAAAGGAGCCACACAGGGCAGCAAAGGAGCCACACA